GAAAGCAGGTAAAGGAATGGTGTAAAGGAACTGTACCATCCAGCTGCAGACTTCAGTGGAGAATTCTGGTGTAGGGAAAAGTGATGCAAGTGCCAGGTGGCATGCAGCAGACACGTCAGGCCTGGGGAGGTGAGCAGTCAGGTTGTCTGTACTGTGTCAGACCTCAAGCAATTGCTTCTGCCTATGCAGATTTCCTTAGGAGACTCTCTGGATCAACATCCATTTGAAATCTCCTTCCTTTACTACATTATGAAAACTCTCCAACTTCTAGGACATTATGGAACTGATATGGCTCATTGCAGATTTCTGTACTACAGAGAGACCCATGGTACATTTGATGCTGGCTCTATGAACCTCAGGTACTGAGAGGAGAAAGTTAATTGGGTTGAAAAGTTGAAGTATCTTGGAGTACTGTGGCCCACTAAGGGACATCACCAGCACAGGCTCCCTTGGACTTGTTAGAGCCGGTAATTGGAGGCAATGATTACAGTTATGTAAGGCATTGTGCTGAGAAATCTCTTGGTTTGCCTGATGAAGGAGAAGGGCCAAGGCCTGACATCCAGACACTGGACAGGAGATTCACCGTATCTGAGGGAATGAGCTCAGGGCTCGTCCTGGGGTTGGTGTGGTGGGGCAGATTGTACTCCATGTGAAGGACAACAATGTGATACCTGCCAGCCTCTGCACAGGGATGCAAGGCAGCAGTGAGGCCCCATTACCATAAGCATAATAAATCTCCTCACAAAGAATAAGCAAGGGGACAAAAACCTTACTGATGTTGCAGCCTTCCATCCTCACCAGCACCCACTGCCTTCTCCTCTGCAGGCTTTCCTATGCTGTTCCAGCCCAGCCCCTGTTTCCCTGTGGTCTGCAGACACCCACCTCTCCTCTGCACCCTGCTCTGACCCTGGCACTGCAATCATTTCACTGATGTCTCTCAGGCCTCTCTGAATGGCCCTTGAAACACAGAGGCATGGAGTGATCCCTCAGCATGGTCCCACATCATAACACTTCCAGTGACATTTCTTCCTCCTCAGGCCCAGTCTCTGGCTTTCAAGCTGCACTGTGAGGGAGCGTTTTTCTCCCTTGGCACATTTCTGCTACCAACTGCATCGTGTTGGAAATCATTTCCTCATGGAAACACCAACCATCAGCTTTCTTGTGCCATTGAGAAGAAGGAACCTCACCATCATCTTCCAAGGCACCTGCCAGCTTCATGGACAGACACTTTCAAGTCATGTCCCTCCTGCTATCCAGTTGGTACTCACACAGAAGAGCCATCACAATCCCTCACACAAACCTCCTTCTTCCTCTATGGGCCCTACCAGGTGCTCAGGCAGAGAGGATCCCACAGTCAACACATCAACCTGGCACTTTCTGTCAGCCTCTCAGGGACACTGCAGATGTGATCCTGTATGCACAGACCCCAGCCAGGAGCCAAGGGATGGCCCGTCAGCTATTGCAGGCTGAAGTCACCACACAGTTGGATTAACAGCCGTATGCTTCCTGCTGGATTATGGGTTTGTGAGAACAACTGACCCAACAGCTCCAGAAATGCCTCTCAGGAAAGAAGACAGACAAAGTCATTGCATGCCCTTTGTTTTGATAAGGTTCACAGAGAGCCTGGTTCCTCATGTACAGTGTGTCTGAGTTACACTACATAGGTAGAAGCTGGATAGGAATGGATAGGCATAATGAAGATTCAGTGAAAAAGTTTAGAATACATAAAACACAAAATAAAACATTCAAAAAATAACACTTAGCAAATGAATACATAAACAAACAAAAAAAAAAGACAGCGTGATTATGTTAAAATCTGAATGACAAGTCACGTATAGAAATAGATGGGCAGTTCACTGATTTCAAAACACATTTGGCCATTAGTTTCCACAGAGAATTCCTCAGCTCCTTATTCCTCATGCTGTAGATAAGGGGGTTCAATACCGGAGGTACCACTGAGTACAGAAATGACACCACCAGGTCCAGGGATGGGGAAGAGATGGAGTGGGGCTTGAGGTAAGCAACCATGGCAGTGCTGAGAAACAGGGAAACCACAGCCAGGTGAGGGAGGCACGTGGAGAAGGCTTTGTGCCGTCCCTGCTCAGAGGGCATCCTCAGCACGGCCCTGAAGATCTGCACATAGGAGAAAAGAATGAAAGCAAAACACCCAAAACAAAGAACTATACTAGCCACAAGAAGCCTAATTTCCATAACAAGGCCCAGTTTCGAACAGGAGAGCTTAAGGATCTGGGGAATTTCACAGAAGAACTGATCCACAGCATTGCCTTGGCACAGTGATTGAGAAAATGTGTTGGCAGTGTGCAGCAG